TTTATATGATGGCAGCCTAACATGTCTATGTGATTTGCCTGAGAAGACTCCAACCAGGAAAAATTCCATCCTTGGTTCAATATTAATGAATGATTCATCATCATTTCCCTCAACAAAAAGCAAGAAACATGATCTCAAAATAAAAATTAAATACGGAAAATTTACATACATACCTAAGAATTATAATGTATTTACACATCTCATGGTTCACCTTATTTAATGGCACCCTAGCATGTATATAAAAGCTAACAGAGAAGCTTCCCCGGATGAATTCCTCAATAGCTTTGAGAATAAAGAAAACTTCCAGCTTAAGCTCAAGGTCAAACGATCATTCGCCATCACTTCCCTCATTGTAGAACAAGAATATGACAATAAAATTAAAATAATAGAAAGTTTAACATACATACCACTGATCTCTTATACATTCAACTTTCTTACGGTTCTTTCCTGGCAGTCCAGCATGGTAGATTTTAGAAAATTAGGTGAACTCGGATTTGGTAAATTTCAACAGGATTACAACCTAAAAACTGTTAAATCCTAGAAATGATAACATTTAAAATCACAAACAAGCTAATTCCTGCTTAATGGAATACCAAACAACCCTTTATCTTCCAATCCATCCTCCGAATCATAACATGAACTGCAGGTGTTGCCTGAGAGGTGTGAAGCCCAATACAAGATAAGCTAATTAGGCCAAAACCGACGAAGCAACAAGGAGGACAAAAGGACAACCGAGTGATCCAATTGAGAACAAAAAATACATAATAAAAAATAAAAAATAGCAGCCTTGCATGTCCATAAAGCCATCCTCCGTATTTCATTACATGACAAATTCCCATCTTACGTACAAGATCAATCACTGATTCATCATCGCTTCCCTCATAGAATAGCATAAAGTAGAAAATAAAAATAAAATTTTAAGCGTGCTAGAAAATTCATGGCGGTAGAGTAATGGATTATCGTCTTGGCGTTGCACGATAATTCAACACACTCTCAAATAAAAGAAAACAACCAGCAGTGACACCAAATTTTGATTTGAATTGGATTGGACCAATTTTGATACCATTGGGTCCGCCTCGTCAAGCAAGTCTATTTGACTGTAAGTTTGCTGAAATTGGGGCTTTAGAAGAATTCTTATCAAAGTTTACACATTTTTTCCTTAAAAGATTGTCTAAAGCTCTGTGGCATACCTCGAGATTAGTGTTGGAAGTTGAAATTTTGTTGATGGTTTATCAAGATTATAATGGGACATCTACATACCACAAAATTTGTATGTATTTAAACTTCACATCGTTCATTTTATTTAATGGAAAACTAGCAAGCATATGCAAGAAGCCTGAAAAGACTCCGACCAGGCTATCCTCCATAGCTCGAGTAAAAGTAAATATTCCATCTCAAGCTTAAGGTCGATCAATGATTCATCATCATTTTCCTCAATGAACACCCAAAACATAATCTTAAAATGAAAAAAAGAAAAATTGAAAATTTACATACATACCACAGAACTCTTATGTATTTAAACTTCACGTTCCGATTATTTAATGGCATTCTTACTGTCTATTTAGTCTGCCTGAGAAGCTTCGCCCCATGCCATCCACCATAGCTTGAGAACAAAAAAAATTTCCATATTAAATTCTTCAAGGTCCATCGATGATTTGCCATCACTTCCCTCGATGAAGAACAAGAGCGGGAATCTAAAAAATAAGATTAAAAAAGAGTTACGTACAAACCACTGAATTCTTATGCATTTAACCTTCATATGGTTCCCAATGTTTAATGGCAGCACTGGATGGCTGAATTTAACAAACCCTGCGAAGCCAGATTTAGTAAATTTAGAGAGGATTAAAACCAGAAAACTGTTAAATCCCTGGAATGATGAGATTTAAAATCCCAAATATATGTTCGTTGAAACGGAAGCTAATTCCTTCTTAATGGGATACCAAAAAACACTTTATCATCTTCCAATCCATCCTCCGAATAATAACATGACTGCCCGGATTGCCTGAGAGGTGCGAAGCCCCACACACCAGGCCATCTTTCATGACTTGCCATTCGGAAAAAAGTGTTGTTCTACAAATATCTATTTACAAATCGAACACCCACATTGATCGAGAAGCATCCCTGAGTCCTGATGTAATAATAACACAATAACACATTAATAATAACACACAATAACATCTGAATAACACACAATA